GGACTTGGTTCTATGGTAGGTCTTAAAGGGTTAAAGAAGCTTTAAAAAAGTGCTGCAAACATATTTTTCCTGTGTGCAGGAGTTCAAAGAGGGTCGGAGAGCCAGCCACACAGCTCCCCAGGTGCTCTTCAGCCACAGGGAGCCTCCTCTGGAGCTGAAGGACACAGACGCCGCCGTCGGGGACAACATCGGATACATCACTTTCGGTCGGTGCTTTGTTTTTAGTTTAACAAAGACTCGCATTTGCTGGTCACTCCTCAGCTAACGCAGTGGTTTTAATTTGTTGCTTTGTGTTTTCAGTCCTGTTTCCGCGTCACACCAATGCCAATGCCAGAGACAACACCATCAACCTCATCCACACCTTCAGGGACTACCTGCACTACCACATAAAGTGCTCCAAGGTGAATTCACCTCAGCCAGTCACTCCTCTCCTACTTGGCAGCACATCATACACAGAGAAAACCGATAGTAAAAGTTTTCTGGGTTTCAAATAATTTTACACAACAAAAGTTTCTTTGCTTTAATCCTCGATCCAGCCCGATCTTTGTCCCAAGTAATAAATGCTTGTTTTGTTCGTTTCAGTGTTATTTCTGAGCTGTTTGGTTGTGTTTGAAGGGCCCTGACAGGTGAACTCAAGTCAGTAAACACACCTGCCAAAACTGAAAGCTAAAAACCACAAACAAGTCCTCCGCCGCGATACTGCGGTTTCTCTGTTTTTCTTTCTCTACAATACAAAGTCCCGCTGTCGGTGAGATCTCGCCTGACTACCCCTAAGAGGGCGTTTGTGTAGATACGACAACCCACGAAACAAGACTTGCTCGAACGTCGTCCTCTTCTTGTAACCCCTAATCAGTGATGTAAACTTAGAAAACAAACAACCGCTGTTTTTTTTGAGCATGAGAAGTTTCGCTCGAGCCATTAGCACAGAGCAAAGCATGCATCCCCCCCTCTGCCCTGCAGCGTTGCGACCAGGGGAAATGTGCCAACACTGGAGACTAAGCACTTAAATCATAAGGTTGCGATTGGCATTGAATCACACGTCCCGTCTCTTCCGCAGGCCTACATTCACACACGTATGAGAGCCAAGACGTCAGACTTCCTCAAGGTGCTGAACCGCGCTCGACCCGACGCAGAGAAGAAGGAGATGAAGACCATCTCGTAAGTAGCCTCTGCTGTCCTCCCTGTTTCTGTCAAACTGAGTTCAACTGATTATATTTGACTTAACACAACCTCACCCGCACTTTAAGGCTTCATCTTCAGTTTTAATGGATTGGATTGGATTTATATAGCGCTTTTCAAGGCACCCAAAGTGCTTTACAATGCCACTATTCATTCACTCTCACATTCACACACTGGTGGAGGCAGCTACAGTTGTAGCCACAGCTGCCCTGGGGCAGACTGACAGAAGCGAGGCTGCCATATCGCGCCATCGGCCCCTCTGGCCAACACCAGTAGGCGGTAGGTGAAGTGTCTTGTCCAAGGACACAACGACCAGGACAGAGAGCCCGGGGATCGAACCGGCAACTTTCCGGTTACAGATACGCTTCCCAACCCCCTGAGCCACGGTCGCCCTTTAACACATTTCAGATGTTGCACAAGGATGTGTTCGGGAATCAGAAACATCCTTGTTCGTGATAACTTATAAAAAAGGCAAAACAAGAGGCGGATTCAGTCTGGGGACACTATCTCGGCACTCCTGTTTTTACAAGATAAAAGCGCCTTTTTCAGCTTTCAGTCTGTGTGTTTTTGAGGTGTGCAGCATGTTTGCCTACATACAATACATACATACAGCGTGAGCTCAGAGAGGCTTTGTATCGAGGCTAATGTGTAACCGAAATAGGAACGATCGGATTGGAAGACTGGACGAGTGCCACTCGCGGCTTCGGCAGTTAGTTGACAAACATTTCTGTTGAATTTCAGGTTGACGACTAACAGAAAAAAATGTTGATGTGAACACAAAACTGAAATCCGAGTGTCAGTCACCTTTTAATGTCACGCAATGACACAAAAGCATGCGACAGATTTCCTTATATGATTGGCTGATTAGATGTGCTGATAGTGTTACTTAATTGTGTAGCACTATCGTTTTTGATGTTCAGGTATGCACAAAGATGAGTGGAATCTTTCAGTAGCTCTCAGAGGGCCTGCCAAAACACGATACAAACAGGAAATGCACGAACAACAACCTGTAAATATTTCCTTTTTTCAATTGCTGAGGATTACAACGTGCAGTCCTTTTCGTTGAACTGGTTTTTTAAACTTGACTCCGTTTCTTGGAAACTTGTTTACATTTGCTCATCCAAAGCTGGAGGCAGCAGTCAGCTTAGTTTTAGCATGTGTGACACAAATAAGGGGAAATGTTGTGTTTAGCTTGTTTTTTACGGTACCTACCAGTGCAGGAGGAGTCGGGCTCGCTCACTCTTCACTGGTTCTGTCTTCATTTTTATCATAACATGTGACCGATCTGATCTCATCTGACAAAAAACTGTTTTGTCTTTACATTTTCAGTGGAAAGACCTTCTCCCGCTGAGGCCGACCTAAACCTGAAAAAGTACAATCCACCCCCGCCCCCCCCACCTCCTGTGGGCATGCCCAGACGCGCCACAATGAGACTTAACGCCACATCGGACCGGACTTCAGGAAGCCTCTAATTCCCTCCCAGCCTCTCATGTCCAGACTTTTGTTTTGTTTTTGTTTGTTTTTTTATTCTTATTTGGTTGAATAATAATGCTGGCCATACCTGAGGAAACCCTCACAATAAATGGAAAAAGGGCATTCCTTGCTTTGCATAGTTAAAAAGAAAAGAAGAATTATTAGTCCTATATAAATATATATATGATAAAACTGAAATTTTTGATACGATATCTTTTACTCCATTTGGTACTCTTGCTTGCCCTCACAGTCATGATGGATGATTTCAGTCCCCTCTGTACTTTCATGTCTTCTGTACCGTTGTCATGGAAAAAAGAGAAATAAATCACGCTTTAAAAAAAAAAAAGCATCTTTTTGTTCACTTTTTTCCACTTGATAAAATTTTATCGAGTGAACACAGTCGACCACGGACTTTGCTTTGAATGTAACTGTTTGCTTACTGTCCTGATAGAGGATAGCCAAGAGTGAAGAAACTGAACTCCTTTTGCAGCGTGTTTGGGGACAAACAACTAAAAGGAAGTTTGTTGTGTGGAGCCAGCTGAGGTGGTTCAGGCATCTGACGAGGATGCCTCTTGGGCGCCTCCTGGGTGAGGTGTTCCAGGCATGTCCCAGCGGGAGGATGTCCCAGGGAAGACTCAGGACACGCCGGAGAGATTGTATCGCTCGGTTGGACTGGGAACGCCTTGGTGTTCCCCTGGATTGGCTGGGGAGAGGGAGGTCTGGGCTTCTCTGCTTAGGCTGCAACCCAGCCCCAGATAAGCAGAAGGAGACTGATGGATGGGTTTGTTGTGTGTTTATTTAGTTGAGGTTCTTCAGTTTTCAAGGATTACCTGGTCCTGGAGAAATCGGGAACAAAGGCGACTAAGGTGACTTTGAATGTGGGATTGTTGTTGGTGAGTATTTTAGAAATTGCTAATCTACTGACATTTTTCCCAGACAACCAACTCTGGAGTTTAGAGGATGGTCTGAACAACAGAGAATAAACACAGTGAGCTGCAAAATGTTGCCAGAGGAGAACAGCCAGACTGCTTTGAGCTGAAATGAAGGCAGCAGTAATTCAAATAACCACTTGTTACAACCAAGGTATGCAGAAAAGCATCTCTGCATGTGGAGAAAATCACAACTGATAGGTGGGCTGCAGCAGAAAACCACACTGGGTTCCACTCCTGTTAGCTAAAAACATGAGTTACACAGGCTCCCCAAAACTGGAGTATGTCTGGTCTGATAAGTTTCAAACCTTCAAATAGTAGGTTGGTGTAAACAACATTAAAGCATGGGTCCATTCTACCTTGTACCAACAGTTCAGGCTGCTGGGGATGGATAATGGTGCTTGGTACCTTTGCACTTCTGAGCTCTTAGTTCCAACCGAACCTCCTTTAAACACCACGACCGACAGTGTACCCATCTCCTGATCACTGCTTCCATCAGTCAACTCAAACTGCTTCCTTCAACATAATGACTTCACTGTACTCAAAGCCAAGAAAACATCTTTGGGATGCGGTGGAACAGGAAATTCACATCCTGGACATGCAGCAGACAAACTGTAAGATGCTAGACCAGAATCTCTGACGATTTTTTCCAGCACCTTGTTCAATCTGTGCCACGAATAACTGAGGATGTTCTGAAGACACGAAAGGGGTCCAACCCAGTACTCCCGAGGTGTACTTAATAAAGCATATAAATCTCTGCCTTTCGTGAAACTTTTGGTTTGTTGTGATGTTTAAATGCAAACTTAAACATAAATTGTATCAAAGTTCTTGGTAATAAAAAGACTGAATGACTTTTACAATATCAGTTTACATGATAGTAAATAAATGAAAACAGATACAGACGCACATATAAGTGAGTTTGTTTGAATTTGTATTCATAACACTGTTTTTGATGAATTTCTTTCAGCCATCTATTTTTGTCACATCTGTTTTTACTATTTGTTCATCTAATTTCACAGATGAGATAGAGGGATACTTGTTAAGCAAACATTTGACGGCAAATGGCTCTTAAATGGGAATATTTTTGCTCTTTTTCTGTCCTGCCTTATGGCAAACTGTATAAGCTTTGGTTTGAAGCATTGGTGGACTTTCTAAAAGACATTTGAGGATGTTTCTTGTTGCTAAAGCTATAGTGACTGGGCATATCTAACATTAAGAGTTTTAAGGCACCAAAAATGAACTTTAGTCTGTGAAGATCAAACTTATTCCAATTTGTGATCCTCTTTTTCGGAGTGACTGCACTGTAACTGCCGAGTAATTCATGTATGAAAGAATAAATCAATAAGACGCTGATGAGCATTTGTCTTTCAAAACCACGTTTTTATTTCATGCACAGCTGAGAACATAAACAACAACAGCACCTCAGAGTAACTTTGCAGGTTTGACAGCAACAGTACAGAAGGCAGTTTTAATTTGCTGAACAGAAGAAAATAACCGAACTGAAAAAAGAAGAAAGCGTTACAGATCAAGCTGTCACCGCTTCACCCTCAGTTACGGGCTTTTCTTCTTCCTTTTCGGAATCAGAGGAGGAAGAAGAGGAGGAGGAGGAGGAAGAAGAAGAGGAGGAAGAAGAGGAAGAGGAGGAATCCTTCTTAGTTTTGGACTTCTTGGACTTTTTAGATTTCTTCTTTTTAGCAGAGCTGCTGACTGCAGCCTCTTCCTTGCTAGTAGCATCCATGTCAGCCTGGATGGGGGGTTCCTCCTCCACTTCAGGAGCTTCTGGGGGGGCTGATTGATTAGAGGGAGCGCTTTCTTGTTTTGCAAGTACTTCTTGTTTTATTGTTTCACCCTGTTCCGGAACGTCATCTTCTTTAGTTCGTGGCTCTGTAAACAAAAAGACATATTTTAGAGGTTACAAATATGCCTGTTAGTTCCTGTTACCTGTTTATGAGTTTGCTGAGAATCAAAAATATTTGGTTTAATGGTGATTGATTAGCTTTTGAAAATAATTAAGATGTAGAGTTAAAATATGGTGTTATTGCAATGGTCTAGTGCATTTTAGTGATGCGGCAGCTTTAAAGAGGTAGTTTAGAAATTTTGGGAAATGTGCTTATTTTCTTCCTTGCTGATGCTTAATGCTAGTTAGTGTTGGTAAAAAAGTATCAGTGGGTGACACTATGAAAGCTTTTATATGCTACTAAAAAAGAAAAAAGGTGAAGATTTTTGGTTAATATCTCCAAAGTTTTACTTAATGACTCAGTGATTTCAAGTTCAGTATTTTGAAATTTTGACCACTCAAATTTTCAGATTAGAAGTCTCAATTTTTTTTAAATAAATAACTCAAAATTTCAAATTTCAACTTTACTCAAAGTTTGAGTAAAGTTGAAATTTTAAATTAGGTATGTTGAAATTTCAAGTAAATAACTAAAATTTCAAATTTTCAGGTACAAAAACAATTCAACTCAAAATTTTGGTTAATATCTCAAAAAATCTGACTTAATATTCACAATTTGAAATTTTAGCTATCTCAACATTTTGACATAATGCCTCAAAATTTGAAGTTATGTATCTTGAAATTTCAATTTAATAACTTGAAATTTTGAATTGGCCAACTGAACATTAATCCAAATTTTGTGGAGGACTTTTTTATAGTAGCATAGTAGCAGAAATCAGCTTCCATAGTACACAGCTATTTGTACACACACACACACATACATATTTTATTTATTTAT